ACATAGGCAGCCGTGCTGATCGGGGAAGTGCGGAATGCACACAATTGCTTCGCTTGTGAATGATGATCGAGTCCGTCTGTTGGCTGTCATGGGTAGGCGCCGAAGTGAATCGACACGCGCTCTTAAACGTGACACTCGGTTCACCTGTTTCTGCGTGGCCAGGTCCGTCTTACCTGGCAGGTGAACATGATACGCGATTTTTGTCATATCGGAGAAACAGCTGGCGTAGGCTCGAATGCCTAGTTGGATAAAATGGTTACAAATGAATCTGTGTAATCTAAACACGTTATTGTGTATATATTCATGTTGACTGCTGAGACTCGTCCTGGTCTCCTGATTTCTCGCCTGGATAAATCAAAGTCAGCTCGAAAATTGACAGCGCGGGGTAGCCACATGAAGCAGAGAGTTGCATTCACCAGACACTTATCTGTCAACATCTTGCATTGGATTTAGTACTGCGTCGGTGTTTTCTGTTCTGCTGAATAGCTCTCCGATGTGTTTTTGCATTTTTTTTTCTCTCTCCAAAAAATGTGGTTCGGTATGCGCGACGTTTCACTCCAACGTGCTGGGAGCATCTTCGGTGTTGTGATGTCCAACGTTTCGCTCCACGTGCTGCCAGCTTCTTCAGGGACTGTAGCACCCAGCGCGCGGTACAACCCGACAACCCATTCATCATTCATTCCCAACTTGAATGCCCTAATTAAACTCCTACAAGTGAAGACCATCGTATTATATTCTATTGTTTCCAATCCATCTATTCGCGCTGCATAACGACACGATGCAATCGGTACGCACGCTTACGTTCAATGCGGGGCCGTAGGCATTTAGATCGAGAGTGGCTTTAAATAACCACGAAGGTGTCAGGCAATTAATGCCCGCAGGGTTTCGTGTGCAAAGATTTTAGCACACGCAGCCGATTACCGAGCTACCCGGGATCGCACAAAATTTCCCGGCTGGCGTACACGCACAGCCCGAGGAGGGCACCCTGGTAATGCACCGCCAGTGAAAGAGGTAATATGGAAGATTAAAAGCGCGCTCGTGAATGCTGAAAATTCCTGCTTTGGCTTAACGGGCGACGCTTATAATGAGTCCGTCCTGAAGAATGCGTTAAGTCCTTATTTGCTTCACCCTCAGACAAATGCGCTCTGTTTGCGAGTGGCTGGGCTCAAAGGACTGTCTTTTGTTCTGGACCAGTGGGCTGTTAAAAACGCGAAAATTGGCAGGCAAAATGGGAATTGCAAAAAAAAATTGCCGAGCACAATAACTGTGAAAAAAAATTGGCTTGCGTTCTGGTGGCCCCCACCTCTGGCCGCACTCCCCCCCCCCTCGTCCCCACACACGCCAATCCCTTCACGTCGACCACTGCCTAGGCAGTCCATCGTCATCCAATAACGTGCGACTGCTGTACAAGCTCGTTACTCGGATCGCTGTCGCATTTGGTGCTGCGATGCCTGGGCACCGCGCACCTACCCTGAAGTGGCAGTCGCCACCCGCCCATGGCAAAGTTCAATGCCGAGGGGCTTCTGTGGTCAATTCTTCCAAATCCTGTGTCTCGGTGTAGGTGCGTCGGTCACTCAGGGGACCGGGGCAGCTGGCGTTGGCTTGAATGCCTAGCTGAAAAATGGTTTAATTTAATCGGTAGAATCTAAAAGGTCATTGTGTATATATATATATTCATATTGACTGCTGAGAAACGTAAGGAGGTTTGGTTAGGACGCATCGCTCGAGGGGGTGATGGCTGATTGACAAGACGGATGAAATTGCAACCAAAGGAAAAGAGAGAAAGCACCCAAGAGGACGATGGGAGTGAGATGGATTGTGGCACCGCAGGACCAGGAGGGATGGGATGGGGAGGCCTTTATCGAACAGTTGGTAGACAACTTATGATAATTGTGGTGATGATGATGATGATCAAGAGGCCCTTCATCCAATCAGTGGGTAGACAACTTATGATAATTGTGGTGATGATGATGATGATCAAGAGGCCCTTCATCCAACAGTGGGTAGACAACTTATGATAATTGTGGTGATGATGATGATCAAGAGGCCTTTCATCCAACAGTGGGTAGACAACTTATGATTATTGTGGTGATGATGATCAAGAGGCCCTTCATCCAACAGTCGATAGAGAATGAATGTTGATACGTGTATATTGCTACTTTGTATCAGATAACTCATTCTTAGGCATGCGATTAGATGCTGCATCACTTTTCACCTGTGCACAGATTAGAACAGTCCGATGTAAGCAGAGCGGCCCACCATCACGACATCGGCGCGCGTCTCGCGCACTCCCCCTCCACCTGTTCCACATTTTACAGGAACAGCTCAGCTCTAACGACCAACAATCTGAGCTATCCGCCAACTATGACCGAGCTCAACCCCAATTCACAGAGTCACGCAACGGCGATGGCAACTTACAAATAAGGAAGCTTTGCGTAAAAATGTTGAAGACTAACGCTAAGCGAGCGTTAGTCGGCAAGTGCCGTGTTTCAGCGTATGAGCGTTTAGGAGTATCCGGCATAAAAGGGCTGACGCACACACGTGTTAGCTTTTAAAGATAGCTTTTATTTATTTTTTTGACATTTGAATGTGCAACTTAAAGAAATGTCTGGGGCACACGTGTTTACGCACACATACACACACACACAAGACTTGTTAAAAACAGCTGTTATGGAGCCTTTGGCCATGAACAATTCACCATTAAACATCTATGATGACCGTATAAAAAGCAAATACAAAACGTTACGTTACTCCAATTAGCAGTTACAGTAAATTACAAAAAAAAACAGTCACGGAATACCCGGTGAGACAAAAAATGCAAACGGCTTTAAAAAAAAAAGATTTTTTTTTTTAAAGAACCAATGTTTCGCGATATAAATACAAGAAACGGATCGACACGCGTTGGAGGAATGTGCATGTTCATTCGAAACGCTGGGCGCGGGACGAGCGGTAACCGCGGTTGAGGCTCGACCCGTTGTGTGCGTCGTTTTCTGCAAGGGGTTCTCCCAATGGGTTCACCACAGCGTGTTTATGTGTACTGCTGTGTTGAACTTCTTTCGCACCGTACGTAGCCAACCGTGCTAATCGGAGGCACGGGAAGAGGACAACAAGACAAACATAAAATGCAGTTCTAAAGAAATGAGTTTGTCAATCCAGGTGATTTAAAAGTGCATAGCTCCAGCAGCTTCCTAATATCGGGAAGGAAGAGCGTTCCAGACGGCCGCAGAAGCGCGTCTGAAAGCGACGCGCGATGCGGTGAGCGCCGTCTTTGTTCGATGGTTCAGCCGAAAGCCGCGACGAGGATGTCCACAGTTCGCGTGATGGTTTTGTGCTCCTTTGACGAGATCAGCAAGTCAATTGTGGCATGCACTTTGTGTGTAATGAGCGCGACCCTAGGCACAGAGCCCCATCCCGTACCACCCAAGCAACCCGTGTTCATTGTTCATGAGGGAGTAGAAACCAATCGGAATACGAATGCAAATTAAAGTGCGTTTGCCCACAGCATTGCGACCTAGGAATAAAATATGGAGAGCGTTTAAATGTTAACGAGACTTGTAACGGCCTAAATGAATGAGCGGGGTTAAACACATTTCTCAGGACAACGGTTTAGCTATACAAAGACAAAGATTGCCCCCGTGTAGCCTTCGCAGACTGTTGGGGCAAGAGCTGTTAGCGAGCACCTATCAAGGCCGGCCGCCTTTGTCTCCCGAGTGGCGATGTTTACACATCGCATCAGGTACACACACACACACACCCTATAACGCTGCACCAGGTTGTATCTTGGTTTTGTATTTTTGCGGAAAAAGCAAAACGAGTCATCTGCTGTTTATAATAGTTTACAAAGAGTGCCATTGACGTGAAAAAATCGGGGTCTGTTTTTTTATGGATCACAATGATTCAATTTATAAACAGTATAAAAAATACGATACACACTTTCATTTTAACAACCAGGCTTAAAAAACTAATTAAGATAAATAGTGAATGCCAAAAGGCACAATTGCTCATTATAAGACACGTGGGTATTCAAATGAGACATTTTAAAGGAGTTGTCTGTGTGTGTGTGTGGTGCGGGAAAGGGTTAAGTTGTAACGTGGCATTTATTTATTTCCAAACTTTCGTTTAGTGCCGTTTTGTTGTAATTGGAAACAGGCGTCGTGGGCCCTCAGCCCTGCTCGCTGTCAGTGGCGAGCTGAAATAGCATCGGCATCTCGTGTGCCAGTGCCACTCTTGAAACAAGCAATTTAAAACAAATGTTGGGGCATCCATCAACAAACAATATTCCTCCTAACATCAGACAGAATATATTGCAAATCATAACAACGTTACAGTAAGTAATAATATAAATGTAATGGTAATACATAATAGATCATTTACAAGCGTATACATATTTTTTTACATTTAAAGGCCTTGGCATTGACTGAACTGAACAATGTGGTAGACGTGTCGATCTTTTAACGCTTTTAAAGAGGCACCCACCCAAAAAAACTATCTATTGCATTGTCGTATAGTTTGTAAAGTTTTCATCTTAACGCATGTATCCAAAATATAAAATTTTATAAAAACATAAATTAAATATACATACTTTAAAATATGAATATATTGTTCTTGTTAGAGCCTACCCCGGAAAGGTTTCACATCAGCGCTCACATAACCATGAAGGAAGCTGCATTTATTTGATCTGATTGATGCATTACGCTATTTCAGACAAAGACCGTTTTTTTTCCTTCCGGAAACTGGCACGGTGGCACCCATCAGGGTCGTGAGTTTAGATCCTGGTCAGCCTTCAACTCGGCCTGCCATGCCATCCAGGCGGATAACATAGGTACCAGTTTGCAGTGGTTTTGCGAGGGAGATCAGACCGTTCCCGCAATAGGAATGTCAGATCTTCTTAGTTCTTTCGGTAAAGTCACGTAGAATGGAAATAATAAAATAATAAAAATAAAACATCATAAAATAATTCTCACGACGTTTCGGCCACAACACAAGCAGCCGTCCTCAGGTCGTGAGAATTATTTTATTATGTTTTATTTTTATTATTTTATTATTTTCATTCTACGTGACTTTACCGAAAGAACCAAGAAGATGAATCCCTGCAGTCACGAAAGCTTTAAATAGGAATGTCAGAGTTCCACAATCGCCTTTGACTCAGACGAACACCGCCAAATATCCATTACACCAGAAAAGGCACTTTGACGTTTCTTCGTAACAAGTTCAGTGGCAACCCACCTTACTCGGCTGAAATGTGCAGCCTGTGCTTTAGTTAGGGTCGTACCGTGCGAGGTTTGTGTATCGTTTAAGGGTGATTTTTTTTGTTTGTTACGTGGCATCGATTACCTTTGCTACTGGGAGGAGTGGCGGTGCAGCGGTTGGCGCCTCGCTCAACGAACCGGGCACGTGGCGTTCGAATCACGGCCACCACTAAATCTCGACGGGTCCTGGGCTTTAACCCTTCGCCGGCCCTTTGTACTGACCGGCGTGGGGAAGCGTAATCAAAACATCCCCGTGACTGAGGCAGCCTGCGGAGGTCTCTAACCAGCAGTGGCTTGTACGTACATATGTTGAAGATCTTTCGCACAGTACGTAGTTGACTAAAGCCTGTAATATTGCTAGTATTACCATCATTACTGTGCTTCTTGGGCGGTGTTTCCATACAGAGAACCCTTATTTAACAGTGTTTGACCACCGTTACAAAGCATAAAAAAGCCTTGTTGTGAGTGGGATTGGAGTCCGTAATAATAGGGCTTCTATGCCATTTAAATTGGGTCTACCAAATGTCACCCTATCATGTGATTAACGTGCGCGCCAGGCCTCAACGTATATTGCTTCATTTAGTTACATTGGCAAGACAGCTTAAAAGTCGCCATTACAATAAATTGTGTTTTGAATTCATCTAAACGTTTAAAATAATAATAATAATTTATACACTGCAATGTTGATTCTGAAATGTATAGTGCAATTAAGGCACCATTACGCAATCTACATCAAAAACCTCAAAAGCGTATAATATACATAATGCAATATTGAGTTCTCTTCGTGCATTTATTAAGATCTGGCAAGAGTGGATGAGCTTTAATTGAATACACAAGTGGTGAACAATTGAAACCATCTGAGAAAAATCGCCTGGTGCCGCCCTCTCTCTCTCTCCCAGCGGGCCGATTGCGTGCATCGATTCCCACTGCCCCGTGTTGAGGCAGTTCTAAAGAGGGGGTTGGTGGGGTGGGGGGGGGGTGATGGGGGGTGATGGGGGGTGTTGTCTCGGCACGGCACCTGTGGTCAGCCCTCGGGGTAGCGGCCGTGATCTGAGCTTGTTATTCCCAGCTCTCGGTGTGGAAGGACCTCTCTGTCCATCTGTCAAATTCTGTAATAAACCACACGTCCTAGATGAGATGTCCCGTTCACTGCCTCACCGCCCCCCCCCATCTCTCACCACCCACCTCTCACTGCTCACCACTCACCACCCCTTCCCCATCTCTTACCGCTCACTTCTCACTGCTCACCACCGACCGCTCAGCTCCCACCGCCGCCACATCTCACCGCCCCCACCTCTGCCACTATGGTTTTTCGGGCCGCGGGATTGGAGTCAAACCGTTCGGCCGGAGTGCGCCCACGTCGCCCAGGATGGGTCGAGCATTGTAGCGGGAAGTTGTCCGCGCCAGACTTGCTGCAAGAGGAACAACCGCCGCCGGAGATCGTAGGGCGCGCTGCAATCCTCACCTAATCCACCCACTGCGCGTCTGGCTGAAGACGCCAACAGAACCTCTGTGTGTATATATATATATTTGTGCTCTCCGGGAGCTCAATACTACAGAAGGCATTTTAGAGTTGTCCGACCGAGACCTCTACGTTACTTTTATTTTGTTGAATGTTGGGGCGACTGGGGAGCCATAGAGAAGTGTTGTATCGTCCAATAGCATTGTCCAGGAACACATAAATTGTGAGTTATACATTATTGGTTTTTAAAATATATTTATAAATGTAGGGAGACCAGAGAGACACATTGCAAAAAAAACGTGCCTGGGAATTGTGGTGCACGTCGGACCCCTTGAAGGTCTGTCGCATTAGGACACGGACGTCTCCAATGTGTCCGTGCCCACATCTCAGTGAGCGCCACAATATATATTTTTTGTGTGCCCTGGCTTACCCATCACCCTCGTCCAGTCAGGCTGCTGACTCACAGAACTCACTCGCGCAGTCGGAATTCATAGTGAAGTCCCGTCCACGTTCTCTACTGATATGATGTTTCCTTCGTGTGTGCGCATGTGTGTGTGCGTACGTGCGTGTGTGCGTGTGTGCGTTCCTACGCAATCTTTGGTTTAACTTTGGGGGGCGCGTGGGCATGGCGGGTCTTCTTGGCCCAAGCGGTTGTTTTCTTCTGGCGCAGCGACGGCGACAAATGCGGTGTGGTCTCCTCTCTGCGGATTAGCGCAGATGGAGGACATCAGCCCTCTGTGTAGATGGAGGACATCTGGCTGGGACAGCGATCCATGGCGGTGATGTGCAGGAAGCTCGACATTTCTTCCATCCCGCCTGACCTCACCGATTCGGCGAAGACCCCTGCCATGCCAGAGGAGAGATCGTAGCCTGCAGAATGCACAACGCACGAATACAGAGCGCGCGGTTATCGGGGGATCGCTCGGGTAACTTTACACGTTTCATCACATGACCCAGCAGTGTGCAATGTTCATGCAAACCACGCGTCCACGTACGTGGAACCGCGACATGGCTACTCGACGAGCATGTTGATGGTGTGTGTATTTTAGCGTGTTATTCGTAATAGGCAGGGCTATATTTAAAGTTGATGACTTCTCCAGTTCATCAACATGGTCCGAGGCTGCCTCTAATCATAGAGGATCTGTAAAAAAAATTGCAATACATTTCCGCCCTTAATCTTAGAGGCCAGGATTCAGAAAGGCATTGGAAATGTCAAAGTGGGGAGAGGGCCCTGAAATCGGTTACAGGTTACCGCTGCCCCATTAAGCTCAACTGCAGCGCTTGCACAAAATCGCACCGCGGCAGCAGACGAAATTTCGCACCGTGGCAATTTACGGCGGCGTTCAAGCTGCGCTTTATTGACCGTCGGATCTGCATCTGATCGACCCTTTTTGGCTCCCGCTCGCCGACGAACAGATGTCTTGCTCGGGGCCCTGGCTGGTACCCCGCAAACGGCGGAAGTAGCCGCTAAAAGGATGCACGTGAACGGGGCTCCGTGTTTCGCTCCGACCGGAGCCCCCCCGACGGGATGTAATGAGAACAAGGTGAGTTCAAACCCCCCCCCGCCTCCTCGCAGGTGAGGCCCGTTCGGCGAGCGCGAAGCCTCGGCTGCGAGCAAATGCGGATGATCACTTCTCACTCCTCCTCCCTTCTGTCGTCGCGTTAACTTGTTCCGGGCCGCGCGCGCTGAGCGAGATCCACTCGGGCGGCCGGGGAACCCTTTAAAGCGATTCCCATTCACCACGTTTATTGTCTTGGACGGCTCCCTCCCCCTCCCACCCCCCTCTTCCCCTCCCCTTACCCCCCCCCCTACTCCTCTGCCACCCCCTCCTCCACCCCCTCCTCCACCCCCTCCCACCTACATACTGGGCTAGCAGCACCCGTGGAGCGAGGAGGGATTGTTCGTGTCGGACTCGCTGCGCTGCATTATGGCCGGCACCGTGCCAGGTTTCCCACTTGCCCCGAGCCCCGACTGCAGCTGGGACGAGCCCAGCAAAGGGCGGCCGTGCTGGCACCGGCGGCTCGTGCGTGTGTGCGTGTGTGTGCGTGTGTGCGTGTTTGTGTGTGCGCGTGTGTGTGTGCGTGTGTGTGTGTGTGCGCGTGTGCGTGTGTGTGTGTGCGCGTGTGTGTGTGCGTGTGTGTGTGTGTTTGTCTGTGCGTGTGTGCGTGCGTGTGTGTGCGTGTGTGTGCGTGTGTGTGTGCGTGCGTGTGTGCGTGTGTGTGTGCGTGTGTGCGCGTGTGTGTGCGCGTGTGCGTGCGTGTGTGCGTGTGTGTGTGCGCGTGTGTGTGTGCGTGTGTGTGTGTGCGCAGGCCAGGGGCCAGCCGGCTCGCGCACAGCGACCGCATTAGTTTTCTCACGGCGTGCGTGGATTTGGTGGTTCTCGGAGTGGCACTGTAATTGGTTATTAGCTCACGGTTTTGTTATTCTCAGAATTACCCCGCGAGTGGGAATATTTCGGTTTTGAGCTGCGCAGATCTTTGATACGTTCCGTTCGTGCACGATTTTTGCTTTTTTGCGGCCGATACCTGATAACGCCACAGCCGAGGAATGTCAGCCTGATAGTTTGTTGCGAGCGATACGATCACGATACAATAAAACGTGGGTTCGTGTAGCACCGAACATGCGATGGGCAGCCCAAGACGCTGCACAGAAACGGTGGGAATATTTATTTTATGGAGAGAGGCAGTCAGCAGTGAGCCAAAGTAAACGGGAATGTCATGAACCTCGACTTAAGCAGGGAGTCGACAGCACGGATGGATGGGGGGAATCAGTTCCAGACCTAAGGACAGCAGAGGAGATTGAACGACCTCCCACAGAAAACAAAAGTCGATATAAAGGAAGGAGGACATACTGCTGAGAGTGCCGCGCAAAGCAATGAAAGCTCGTCACTGGGGCCCTCCAAAATTGATGTGAATCCGCAACGAAGATTTCAGAGTGAAGTCACGTAGATGGTTCAAAGAAAATAAAATAAGACTACGACGTTTTGTTTTCTTTGAACCATCTACGTGACGTTACCGAAAGACCCAAAAGAATATGAATTCCTGCAGTCACAAAAGCTTTAAGTCAAGATTTAAGATTTCAGAGCCCAAAATTAAACACATTCCTGCAGAGGGAGCTGGTAGGAACGTTAGGTTGCTCGGTCAATGGCCAGGGTCAACGGCGGCGTGGTGTATTCCGCAAATATGCCCGACTGTGAGGGCGGGCACAAGCCGGCGTGAGAAGGTTAAACGTTGAGTTTTATAAGGGCAACACGGGGTGACCAGCCCCTCCCCACCCAACCCCACCCCTCACACCCCCATCCAGCCCCACCCTCCCCACCCAGCCCCTCCCCACCCTCCCCTCCCCACCCAGCCCCTCCCTCCCCACCCAGCCCCTCCCCACCCTCCCCTCCTCACCCAGCCCCTCCCTCCCCACCCAGCCCCTCCCTCCCCTATCCACCCAGCCCCACACCTTCCATTTTTGGATGCACGACGGACGGACACAATAATCCCCTGTGGGCTGGTGTAACCTGGCGGTTCCTACCAGTACAAGGTTTTCGTCATTGGTTCTGGGGAGGTCTCTACCCAGCAATGGGTAGAAAAATAATAATCAGGCTGCTGTTGCTGATTACAATGCTGATGTAGATGCTGATGCTGATGTAGATGACATTAACAACTTAGCCAGAACACTATTCAGGAGAAATGGTGCCCAAACTGAGCGTGGATTCCCGCGAGACAATTCGAAGTTCCACGCGGGGCCACGAGCTGGGTCACCTGCGTGGGCCGACAGGGTTCGCTGGAAGACATCGAACTCTCCCGCGAGGCCACCGGGTGGCAGCTCGTCGTAGGAGAGGCTGCACGGGCTCACGCGCTGGAACGACTCGGCGAGGCCGTGCGTGGACGACATCGAGTAGATGTTGCCTCCGTAACCTGGACGGAGACAACAGCAGCAAAGAAGAGAGAGCGAGATATATATATGTGTATTTTATACCGGGGGTCACGGGCACACACACTCGGCTCCAACCATTGCAACAATACGGACACGTTTGAGGCAAAAAATTAACCCGTAAAAACAAAGTTTTTCACTATAAATCCTTTATATGCGTGGCATCGGGGCGGCTAGAGTCCTCTCGTCCTCGCTCGAGATGGCTGCCACCTATGGGTCAGATGATTGTCTGCCACCATTAAGCAATTGGTAATTTTTTTTCCCTAAACAGTATAAAAGTTGGGAACATTTTTTTCACGAAAATTAATTGTCACGCACATCGAGTCTGTGTGCAAAATGTCAGCTCGATTGGATCACGGGAAGTGGGTTAAAAAACGACCGAAAGATTTGCACGGTCGTAAGCAAGCAAGCAAGTGAACTTAATATAAAGGATTAAAAAATATCGGCCAGGGACAAAGGTCCGTAGATTCTCAGAGCTCCAGGTTGGGGAAGCAACAAACCGTGCCGTGGGTTTTTTCCCAGTCTCAATTGATGCACGCAGGTGGGATGAATATTGTAAGCTGAAGGCAACGGGCAGTGATGCTGAATTGTGATCCATTGTTACGACGATGGTGATAATGATGATGCACCAGTGCTGCGCGCCACCAGATGACTTCTCTAGAGAAGCCACGTGGGCTGCATGTGCATCGTCCCGTGGTGCAAATGTTGACCAAGAAGCCACTGCCATCACATTCCACGACCTTCTTGACAAAGGCGGCATGAGGAGGCCGTCTTTACAACAGCGAATTGTCCTAACCGCTGTAAGAAGATGTTGTATGTCAAATATCGATGGGCGGTATCCATTGCAGTGTTAAGCATGACACACAGCCTCGATTAAAAACTAATTTCTCTCGATTAAAAATGCATTTCTTGAGAACTGATTTTTGCGTTTAGTTTGTTCTCCGTCCCCCCGCACCTCCGATTAGCATGGCTGGCTACGTACGGTGCGAAATAAGTTCAACATACATACACATCCCTTCAACCGAATTGGCTGTCGCCCCCCCCCCCCCCCGTGTGTCGGGTAATTTATCTAAACTCATCCTGACCTAATTGGAGACTTGACGACCGAACATGAGAGCGATGCGACGATAATGCGGCGCTCAACTTCTGCTATTACTGAACCCGCCGAGTACTGGCCCACACAGTGACGACTGTCTAAAAAAATATATGCGCCTCCTCCGTGGAATACCCGTGCTCGTAAATGAGCGCGAATCACAGGTGCTGCTACGACTTTTATTGTCCCACGTGAAGCCGATTGTGTTTCATCGTTTAACAGCAGTAGCAGCAACAACAACAAATCTGGCAGTTAAACGTGGAACATGCCAAGGGCATCTCGGATCGCACGCAGGAATGCTGTCACAGGGACACTTGGAATCGTTAATGGCACGAATCGCATGCGCGCCCTTTAAAACGCTTTTTAAAAGATTATATTTCGACTGCAGACTTGACTGACGTCAGCGATGAAGCAATTGCTGTGGGCTTTAAGTCCCGGGCAGTGTGCAGGAATTTAATTATGTCTTAATCACACAGATACACAAATCCAGCCACGTTCTTTTGGTCGTGGCAGAGAGAAAACTTTTTAAAGTTTGCTCGAGCTGTCAGAGCTGACTGATCAACTTATTGTGCATGACCCATGACTCGAGATATTATCGCTCAGCCGAAATACATTTCGCCTGCAAGCTTGACGGAACCTGTTTTCATTATTTTATTAACTCCGCTTGCCAATATTTCTTGACGTTGTTCACATGTGAGCGCCAACGCTCTCCAGAGTGGCCCGAGGCGATAGCAAAAGACGTCCACATCAAGGATCCTGGCTTGAAGACATGCTATTAAAAAAAATGTATATCACGTAATATATAAACACCCGTGTCTAGAAATAATCTGCAAGTTAAATGATCACGCCCCTCCTGGCAATAATTTTCGCTGAAATCGGACGTTATTTATTTAACGCAGCTACAGGCTCGTCGTCGTCGTCTGCAGCGTGCGAGCGAGACACGGGGAAGTGCCCCGCGCAGATTACGGATGACGCTACTCGGGCGCTGGGGATGAGCAATGGTGATGGGTTAGGGGAGTGACGCGCCGGGGCAGGAAACGTTCGGCCGGGAATCACATCACGCTTCAAAGACTTGGGGGCGGCGATCTGCTTTAATGGAAGTCGGGGCACAAGTCCAAGGGTGTCATCTCAGCGATCGTCATTGCTCGTCGTTGTTTCAATCGAGTGACGTGACAGTGCCAAGGGTTGGCAGCGAGAACGGCGCTCGACGATTTTTTTTACTTTTTGTCCACCGTGACAAGACGAGTGGATAGCTTCGCTTGTTACCTCCCTATCGCTTTACTATCTCCGCTCCCATGGTGACTGTTTCCATGAACTTGACTCAATGATTCCTTGTGAGAAGGAGGAAAACAACCAACCCCTGTTGCCTTAACTTATTGTTTATTTTATCTACCACTTACTTTTCTTATGCTATTCGTTCAGCTCGCTGTTGCAATTTTGCTCTGCCCGGTCGTTGTTAGGCGCTGGGGTCGTGATGGTTTCGTTTGTTATTCCTGTTGCTCCGTGCCCTACCGGTACCGTTCCCGCTGCAATGTGTACTCACGCCCACTTTACGGAGGGCGATATTGAAACGTAAAAAATTAACCCGTAAAAACAAAGTTTTTCACTCTAAATCCTTTATATGCGTGGCGGCTAGAGTCCTCTCGTCCTCTGGCTTGAGATGGCTGCCACCTATGGGTCAGATAATTGTCTGCCAGCATTAAGCAATTGGTAATTAAATATTAACATTTTTTCCCTAAACAGTGTAAAATTTAGGAAAAAAAATTTCACGAAAATTTATTGTCACGCACAACGAGTCTGTGTGGAAAATGTCAGCTCGATTGGATCACGGGAAGTGGGTTAAAAACGACCGAAAGGCTTGCACGGTCGTAAGCAAGCAAGCAAGCACGCAATCACGCAAGCAAGCAAGCAAGCGAACTTAATATAAAGGGTTTAAAAATAAAGATTGATTGACTCCTCCACACACGTTGAGGACTCGGTCTCGCAGAATGATTCGTCTGGCCATCAGGTCCCAGTGCTAGGCAACAAAGATAACAAACAAACAAAAACGTGTTGCCCAAAACTGTTTAGTTTGATCACAATTACACTTGTCAATATCTTTTGCGTGTTTGGCCGCCATGCTCTGGTGGTGGTAATAGTGGTGGCCTCGGTCCCCTCATAACAAGTTTGTTTATTATTTAATTATCAGCACCCCACCCCTACTCCACGCCATCCTCTCGACGGCAGCGCTTGAAATCGTTGAACGAGCGCGCCAGAGAGAGAGAGAGAGAGCGGAGCGAGTGAGCCAGAAAGAGAGAGCAGAACAGAGTGAGCCAGAGAGAGAGAGCAGAGTAGAGCGAGTGAGCCAGAGAGAGAGAGAGAGAGTGCGGAGTGAGCGAGTGAGCCAGAGAGAGAGAGAGAGCAGAGCGAGTGAGCCAGAGAGAGAGAGCGCGGGGCGAGTGAGCTAGAAAGAGAGAGCAGAGCGAGTGAGCCAGAGAGAGAGAGAGAGCGCACGGAGCGAGCGAGCGAGCCAGAGAGCGAGCGAGCGCTCGTGGCGCACCGTGCAAGTGGGACGTGACCGGTGAGGAGGTGCTGGGTGGATGGCACGGAGGCGTTGTGTTGGCGTAGCCCTTGTGAGTGTGGCCTGCAGCCGAGATGCCCGTAAAGTCGGGCGAACCGAGGGGCGGCAGGTGATGAGGCTGCTGCTGCTGGCTGGTGGTGGTGCTGTTGCTGGTGGTGCTGGTGGTGCTGCAGGGGCTGGTGCTGATGCTGTTGCTGCTGAGGCTGCAAGCCCTGATGGGGCGTTCGCCGGTGCATCTGCGGGGGAGCGGCTGGTACCCGACCAGGGCTGATGTGGTGGGGAGACGGCGTGGGTGGGGCAAACCTGGCGGCAGAGTGGCACGGAGAAAGGCGGTGTAAGCATGCGACATTTGGGAAAACGGATGCACGTGATGTCGCTCAATTTACTGCGTTCAACATTCATGGACGCATGTTAAAGTGACAACCTTTCACTTTAATTGCTCTGTGTATGGGGTATCTACAGCATGATTTAGCAATGCAGGGACTTCCAGTGACACTACTGGAGACTCAATTCCAATGTCAAGACATTTCTCCTTCATCTAAAGCAATATATTTATTTAAAAAAACATATTTCTCCATTTCACCCCCCCCCCCCCCCCCATGAAACACGTCCCACTATACCACGCAGCACCTTGAGATTCAGTTGCCTTGTGATGCTATCCAAATCCTATTTTAGTTTTTATTTATAATGACCTCTGCTAAAACAAATGTCTCATTATTGGGTCATTGACTGGCTCACTTGCCCTCGCGGCCCACGCTGGGTCTGGCCTGCATGGCCTCTTGGCAATAATAATAATAATACACATTTATTTGTATGGCGCCTTCCACTAATGTCTCAAGGCGTGTTCAAACATCGAGGCACGTGTTGTATATGTACTGTATGTTGAACTTCTTTCGCGCCGTACGTAGCCGACCGTGCTAATCGGAGGTGCGGGGGAAGGACAACAAAACTAAACACAAATAAATTCGAAAGAATATTTTTTTCAATCTAATCAATATCATAATGTGCTGCTGGACATTAATATTTGGCGTTGCGACTTGCTGATCCGCCCATACCGGACCATCTGTTTCGTAGCTGCTTCATAGCTCATCCGGATTCCTCCAGTCTAAATAAAGATTCCGATGATGCCGAACATTCCCTCCCGCAGTCCCTCACCTGTCTCTCCGCTCATCTCGAGGGTGCAGTGCCGACACCTGCGGGTGCTGCTGCTGCTGCATGTGGTGGTGCTGCTGTTGCTGCTGCACTGCTGCTGGAGGCTGTGTCCCGGAATGCACGCCCTGTGACCGTGACCGCCGAGCTCATGTTGGACACAAACATTCCTGGGAAACGAAGCGGTCAGAGAACGCGCAGGGCAATGGGTAAAGGTGCAGCCCTGCAATTGCTTGCTCAAGCCACTGCTGGTGGAAGGGCCTCCACTAGAGGGAGCTCTAGAGGGAGATGGCAGTACTGCATAGCAATTCATGAACCCATCTGTGTGGACCTCAGTGTGTCTCCCTCCCCACAACCCCGCCCCCGGACGGTATTATGCATGGATATTTGGTACGGTATCACAGTTGTATTCCCACGTAAAGCCAAACGCTCATTACAATGGAATAGGACTAATATCCCAAGTGCAGGACCCTCCTGAAAAAGGGTCATGAGAGTCAGTGATGCCCTCCTAGATAAATAAACGGCACGAAACCGGTATAAAATGTGTCATTTTACAACAAGGCCACCCTTTAAACTTAGCAGTTCGTGATTGAATTGGCTTTTACGTGACTCCGAATAAAACGGTGGATTCGGCTGCATTCAACCACCAGAGGTGATCATCGGCGAGTGAACCCGGCAAGACTGCAATTAATTCCCCGCCCCCACCACAACACCCACCACTCGTCATCGCCCAACCATTCTTTCGCGACGACGTGGAGGCAGTGAGCACGGCGCGTGTCGTGGCGAATGGGAATGCTGGCGGGGGGCTTTTGTTGTAAATTATTTCTCTGCCCAACGCCATCACACACACACAAAGGATCAGCAAGCCGTGGCTCGAACAATGCGTACGCCCTTGTATGGACCGTATGTTGAACTTATTTCGCACCGTACGTAACCGACCGCGCTAATCGGAGGTGCGGCGAGAAGGAGAACAACACTAAATACAAAAAGTTGTTCTAAACACATGGGTTCTCAATCTGAGTGATTTAAAAGTGCACAGCTCCAGTGGCTTCCTAATATCGGAAGGAAGAACGTTCCAGACGGCCGCAGAAGCGCATCTGAAAGCGGTGGAGAACGCACGCACACACGTGCACCGCAATGTGCCCAACCACCCACGTGCACCGCAGTGTGGCCAACCACCCACGTGCACCGCAGTGTGCCCAACCACCCACGTGCACCACAGTGTACCCAACCACTCACGTGCACCACAGTGTACCCAACCACCCACGTGCACCGCAGTGTACCCAACCACCCACGTGCACCACAGCGTGCCCAACCACCCACGTGCACCGCAGTGTACCCAACCACCCACGTGCACCGCAGTGTACCCAACCACTCACGTGCACCACAGTGTACCCAACCACTCACGTGCACCACAGTGTACCCAACCACCCACGTGCACCACAGTGTACCCAACCACCCACGTGCACCGCAGTGTACCCAACCACCCACGTGCACCACAGTGTACCCAACCACTCACGTGCACCACAGTGTACCCAACCACTCACGTGCACCACAGTGTACCCAACCACCCACGTGCACCACAGTGTACCCAACCACCCACGTGCACCGCAGTGTACCCAACCACCCACGTGCACCACAGTGCATCCAACCACCCACGTGCACCGCAGTGTACCCAACCACCCACGTGCACCGCAATGTGCCCAACCACCCACGTGCACCACAGTGTACCCAACCACCCACGTGCACCGCAGTGTACCCAACCACCCACGTGCACTGCAGTGTACCCAACCACTCACGTGCACCGCAGTGTACCCAACCACCCACGTGCACCACAGTGTACCCAACCACCCACGTGCACCACAGTGTACCCAACCACCCACGTGCACCACAGTGTGCCCAACCACTCACGTGCACCACAGTGTACCCAACCACGCACGTGCACCACAGTGTACCCAACCACCCACGTGCACCACAGTGTGCCCAACCACTCACGTGCACCACAGTGTACCCAACCACGCACGTGCACCGCAGTGTACCCAACCACCCACGTGCACCACAGTGTACCCAACCACCCACGTGCACCACAGTGTACCCAACCACCCACGTGCACCACAGTGTGCCCAACCACTCACGTGCACCACAGTGTACCCAACCACGCACGTGCACCGCAGTGTGCCCAACCACTCACGTGCACCACAGTGTACCCAACCACCCACGTGCACCACAGTGTACCCAACCACCCACGTGCACCACAGTGTACCCAACCACGCACGTGCACCGCAGTGTGCCCAACCACTCACGTGCACCACAGTGTACCCAACCACGCACGTGCACCGCAGTGTACCCAACCACCCACGTGCACCACAGTGTACCCAACCACCCACGTGCACCACAGTGTACCCAACCACCCACGTGCACCGCAGTGTGCCCAACCACTCACGTGCACCACAGTGTACCCAACCACGCACGTGCACCACAGTGTACCCAACCACCCACGTGCACCACAGTGTACCCAACCACCCACGTGCACCACAGTGTACCCAACCACGCACGTGCACCGCAGTGTGCCCAACCACTCACGTGCACCACAGTGTACCCAACCACCCACGTGCACCACAGTGTACCCAACCACCCACGTGCACCACAGTGTACCCAACCACCCACGTGCACCACAGTGTACCCAACCACTCACGTGCACCGCAGTGTACCCAACCACTCACGTGCACCGCAGTGTATCCAACCACCCACGTGCACCACAGTGTACCCAACCACCCACGTGCACCGCAGTGTACCCAACCACCCACGTGCACCGCAGTGTACCCAACCACCCACGTGCACCACAGTGTACCCAACCACCCACGTGCACCGCAGTGTACCCAACCACCCACCTGCACCGCAGTGTACCCAACCACTCACGTGCACCGCAGTGTACCCAACCACTCACGTGCACCACAGTGTACCCAACCACCCACGTGCACCGCAGTGTACCCAACCACCCACGTGCACCGCAGTGTACCCAACCACTCACGTGCACCACAGTGTACCCAACCACTCACGTGCACCACAGTGTACCCAACCACCCACGTGCACCGCAGTGTACCCAACCACCCATGTGCACCCCAATGTGCCCAACCCAATGCTGCTGCTCTCCCCCAGCACGGCCGCGGAGTGGAGATCAACTTGGGGAGGGGTTTTTTTGTTGCAACGATAAATTCGTGAATTCGGCAAGTGTCTTGGCTTTTGCGGTGCCACGGATGATATCGTATGACGCGTCGCGCTGATGGCTTCAAGTGTTTTTTCGTGTGCTTTGAAACAATGTTTGTTGATTCATGTAGGCCAACCATGCTGCTGTTGTTGGAAATAGGGTAGTCACGAGATTAATTCCAGACGTGAATGCACTTTGCCTTCCAGGAACGAAAAACAACATGTGGGACGTTATGACATTGCAACATCCAGGCAGATACTTATTAGTGTTAGTTCCAATTGTTACTTTTCATTGATATTCCTGCTTTTATTGCACACACACACGTATACCGTATTGCACACACTCACACACATACCGTGTTCATATACACAGTAAATGCAATAACAGCCGAATTAAAGCATGCGTAGGATTATTGGGACGTACCCATTATAATGATTGCTTGAGGCACATTGATCCAGGCTGTGACGTCACATCTGTCACGTGACCCGAGCGTGTGGAAGCGTCACGCGTTGTAGCGTAGCGGTTAGCGCGCTGCGCTACGAACCCGGCGACCCGAGTTCGATTCCTGCTCACGGCCACCACCGGTGACGATTATCGATTATTTGAACCGGTCCTGGGCCTCCCCTAGGTCGACTCAGCATCAAACGAGTAAGTGGTGTGGTGTGTCAATATCGCCACTGGGGAGACAAAGGCGGCCGGGCGTGGTGAATCCAGGTAGTAAAGCTAGTATAATATATGTCATTGTCTTTGCAACTGATTGGCCTACGCCAGAGACAGCCATCCTTCATGGCCTTGTCTCACGACCAGTGTCCGACCAGAGAACGCCGACACAGCCAAGTTTTTATGAATTTAGAAATGCCGATGATTTATTGGAGAGCTGCATTGCATTGGAAGGCACCAAGGCTCTTGATAATGATTGTGTAGAACAGTGGTCGGGAACCTATGGCTCGCGAGCCATATATGGCTCTTCCAGTGACGGCATATGGCTCCCAGACAATTTTGAGTTGAAACAATAATTTAAAAAAATAAAAAATAAAAAATCAGTTTGGAACTAATTTTAAAATACTTGTGATATTACTTAATAATACCGTGTCATTTTAAAGTAAACAGAAATTAGTTTTGAAGATAAATTTCACGGGTCACGCCTGCATGAAGCTCAACCTCACCACGTATGAACCAGACTACAAGGCCATCAGCAAAACCATGCAGCACCAGAAGTCGCATTAAAAGTAAGACATTTAATTTATTATACGTTAAAAATACTATATGGCTCTCAATGAAATATATTTAGAAATATTTGGCTTTTATGGCTCTCCCAGTCAAAAAGGTTCCCGACCCCTGGTGTAGAACATCAGATATTCAATGCTTCGTGTAATGAGTGATAGGTGGCTGATACACTGCATTGGTCTCCTCCTCCTCCTCGCACCCGCCTCTCATCCGTTTCGCTTTCCGTGCGGTCGAGAATTCGTTTCAAGCCCGATCGCAGTAATCAACGTCACTGTAATCGAAGTCTTAAACAACAAGACTGGCCCACACTGCTTGCTCGGGCCACTGACACGGGTGATGATTAACACGGCCATTAATATTGCTAGCCTTGACAATTTACCAGCCACTCAGCCAAGCCAGCCAGCCAGACGCGTGATGGACTCACATTTGTCTTGACGTCAGCTCTCCGTTGACCCAACCCATCCATGATACATTCGTTAAGTCGTATAAATGATATTTAAACGCTACATTTGAGAGCAAACTGATTAAATGCTCTTGGCATGCAACGTTTTACTTTCTCGACGAGAAAAGAAGACTGATTTGAAACGTTTGTTAGCTCGAGGCTGACGGCAATTGTTCTGGCTGTAAAGACGTCTGTGTTATTTAGAGCATGACTTTGCTATCGTGCCCTCTGACCCGCGGAATGATGGGCTGCAATTCATCTTGTCATTTGTGCATTACATGTAAAAAAAAAAACACCGCATTTTTGGGAGACACAACCTACACATGTTCTATATTTTTAATGCCCCCAGTCCTTGCGGTTACAAAAAAAGAAAAAAAGATGTATACGGCGTACTCAAACACAACAGAGCACTCGTGATTTCCCAGTGGGGAGACAGTGGAGCGTACCGTGGTGAGAGCGCAGAAGAGATACTGTACATAACACACACAAAAAACATCTTTATAAACTTAAACAAAACAAAGATAGATGTTACAGGCACACCTCTGGGGAAGGGCAAATGCAACACAACATGATTTAAAAAAATAAAATTGCAAAGCAACGCAATTGGCAACATGCTGACGTTACTTTAAAACCAGGATATTACCGAGCGCGCGTAGAGGCACGGGCACATTTCGCTGCGTCGTCTTCGTCGTCCGCATGTTGAACGGGATCAATTTCTCCCACGCGAATCTGGGTTGGGTTAACTTTCAAGTTTCTAACCACATGCGCCGCATTTTTAACAGCTCTGCTAATTCGCCCCCCATCCATCTCGCCTTGCTGCCCATCTGGCCTCTTCCCTTCCCATTCCTCCTCGTAATTCCACAACCCTCTTGTTGGAAGTGTTCCTTTTTAATGTGAGCAATACTCATATTTTACAGCTCAAATAATGTCACCACCTTTCAACGGCTATTGGGCAGCGCTCATCCCCAATGATGGGCCACGGCTGGTGACGACATTGTGACATAATTCCGATGGCAGAGTGAAGACCACCGCTAACTCTCCATGACACAGGTTATACGCCGCGTCCGGGTACAAGCAGAGGTGCAATGGGTAGTACGCTGCAACTGCCGAACCCGAGGGGAGGCGATGGCGAGCTACGTTTCTGTATCTGCATCTGGCGTATTGTGCTTTCAAACCCGGCGACCTGAGTTCGAATCTTCAGCCATGGCAAATGATATGAGAACCGGTCTGGCCATACCTCCCCCCCCCACCTCACTCTTTCAATAACTCAAACTAACCAGCATGGTAAAGTATAGTTAAAAAAGAGATACCCATGACCGACATGGTGTGGGGGAGACTTTCCTTCATCTGTTGGCGGATTGAGAATGGCTGAAATGATATGTTTATAATTACAAATAAGTCTCGATTTGCAAAAGGGTTACAGTTTCACACGCAGTTTTTTTGGGAGGGCAGTTTTGGGAGTGAGTGCGGATCTAGATGAATAAAATGTGGGAGGGGGTTGAGGGGGCAGCCGCGGCAACTGCCATGTGGACATCTGAACCGTTTAGAATAATTCTGCCTTGCAGCCTTTGTCTGAAATGTCTCCCTTTTGACGCAGACATCTGAAAGAATATCTCCCTTTAGGCACGCATTCGCACCCAATCACCTCTTTTTTGCACGGTCAACCTCTTTCCTGGCTTTTTTTGTTAGATGCTAGCGTAGAAAAAATAATATTTTGTACGTAGGCATCTGTGTCTATATTTTATGGTCGAATCGAATTCGTTCTCTCTGCAAAAATGCCTTTTGCATTTGTAGCACCTGCAAATAATTGAGTGGAAATTGGTAGAATCGCAGCCTAGGGCAAATACTATTTATAAATTGCCTGTCAGCTCATGAGGTTATGAGTTCAATGTCTGTGGTGGTTGAGGCCAGGCAGTAAATCTGCCACCATGGCCTTCGGTTTCAGTGCCAGTGCAGTTCATCAGGAGCCAGATTTTTCTTTTAAAATGTAGCTCTGTTTTTGCTTGATGATTAATGTATCTGCCGCTAACCGTATCACAACGAGAATTGTCATGGTTTGTTTTACGATATGGTTCCTCCTTTTGTTATTGTAACCGCATGTGCTGCGAGCGTATTTTATAATTTACTGTTTGTGTTTATTTTTTGGCCAGTGTGGTGAAGTCAAAGCCCACATTCATGTCAGTAGAACACAAACGCAACAAAGAGGGTTATTTATCACCAGCCGGGCCTCAGCTGATTGATCGGTAATCATCACAGACTCCGATGAAAAACCTTAAACGTTTTGGAAATCACCATGGACATTTGGGAAATCACCAATACTCCCTGCTGCCCTCCTCACGGCTGATACCATAATGGCACCTCCTACCTTGGATTATACATTTATTTTGACCGCTTTAAGAGCTGCAACAATATCGGTCACGTGTTTTTTTTATTTATTATAACAAACGGACAAATGAAGCCTATTTCGCTAATGATCGAGGTGTGTAAATTGTTCCGTTGAGACCTAATTGGGTATAATCGCGCAATTAACGGCTCGCCCCATTTTGAAATAATTGAGTGCAGATTACGATGTGCCAGGGTTATGTTTAGAGCTCAGGTTGTTATTTTTGTTTTTTTTCTTCGAAAGACTCAGGTATGAAAGGTTAATATTTGATATACCCATTCAAATGGTGTAGGACTCAATGAGAACTCTTTAGCACACAGTAATATTGTACTGTGCCTCAACATCTATGCTCCCAGCCTTCAACCTGCACTCGCCAGCGTGGTGAAGTATGACCAATTAACTTTAAGCACTCACGTGGGGGGCACTGGATTGGCGTGTACGTACATATTTCTTCGTCCTATCAAATTCCCAGAACATTATTCGCCGTACGAATGGCACACAAACAGGCGTGTGTACTTTACATCCCCGTAGCAATCCATTTCTGTGTCAGTCGTAAAGATTGTTTGACCACACGTGACTGGTCATCTCAGTCAGTCAACCCATGGCACCTGCTGGGTCTGTTCCATGACCTCCTGCCAGCGGGCCTTCGACACTTCACGTGGCTTCAAAGTGCACCTAGCATGGCACGAGTGCCGTAGGTGACGTCACCGTGACTTCGTGGTGAACGGCGGTTGTTGTTGTTGTTGTGTTGGCCAGTGTGGGGATGGTGAAGGGAGCTGGGGGATCCGGGACCGGTTCAGATCTCATTCAACGCTGATATTTCCATGGCCAGGTATCGAACTCAGGTCATCAGATTCGTAATGCGGTTCGCTAACCATTGCACTGGCACTAAGGAGTGAAAACAATTACACCCCTATATATGCTTAATGAAATAAAAACAATATAACCCCCCCCCCCGTGGTATGATCTAAAACGCTCTACTCGTATCACGGGAAATGTGTTAAAAGAAGCCACTGGGGCTATGCACTTTTAAATCGAGATTGAAAACTAATTTCTTTGGAACTTATTTTTGTGTTTAGTTTGTTGTCCTTTCCCCGCACCTACGATTAGCACGGTTGGCTAGGTACGGTGCGAAAGCGGTTCGAGAGATGATATCCCTTCCAAAACGATACGCAACTCCAACCTCGTATGCACACAGCTGCACGGGAATAAAATAAAAAAAGTTCCACATTCGAGAAAGATAAAAAAGTAGTTCGCTGCCCAGCGTGCAACTCCGCTCACCCTGGTTGAGGTGGTGCGAGTCGCCCGGTGCCACCCCTCTTCCGTCGTAGCGCTCCGACGATGTCGCCATGCCCAGGTGCAGCCCCTGCGCGGACAGACACTCGCCCAGCGGCTCCTGCTCGTCCCCCAGCACAGACCGCAGCTGCAAGCCGGGCGGGATGGGAAACGGTTGAAACGGTGAGTGGAGGGAGGGGAGGGGAGGTGGAGTCATGGATTTTATGGTCAAGTCCTGGATTAATTGCCCAGTTCTGAAGCGATCGGTGGATCGTAGGCTGATTGCGGTTCTGTCGGTGGGGCAGAGTCTGTCCCTGGGCCTGTCCTAGCTCCGTCATCGACACGAGGACCTATTTTCTTGTTTGAATGGTGTGTTATTTCCACTCTTTCCGTCCAGTATCTCCACGTGCAGTGGCATTATATGCTCTGAAAATCCAATTGATGCTGCTGCTATTATGGAGTGGACGCTGTGTGAAAGGTCCCATCGTAGTAGCCATGCGCTCTGAGCAACAATGCTCCTCATTTGTCCGTGAAAGCCTCACCAAAAGTCTCCGTAGTCTCCTGCATGAGGGTTCTACGTCGGATGGTTTGGCCGAGTTCTGAACGAGTGTTTTTGTTTTTTTCTCTCGCAGAATCCCATACACAAGAGGGGATATTTATCTTTGCAAGCCAGCCCGGACACCATCACGTAGCGGGAGCATTCTATTTCACAGGGTTTCATTCGGGAGGCGCCGACCGTACCGCAATGTTGCAGCGCGGTACATGTGACGCAGCATGTTGAAATTACAGTATTGGAAACAAAAGACGTGCGCGCTGTGGTCAATGCACCGAGGTCCGTACTAAATAAAGCCTAGTCCACAGAGAGCTCTCGCTGTCCATGGAGATGCGATGTTACCGGCGAAGGGGGGCGGGCGGGGGGGGGGGCATCGTATCATTCACGGGTGAATAAGCGCACGCACCTGCGCCTATCGCAATTACGCAAAACGGGGTAACACTACCGCGTAGGTTTTCAGAGGTTGTGTGCTGCACAGCTCTCCGATGTGTTTTTCTGGTGGTGTTGTTTGCCACGGTGTCCGACGTTTTTCCGCTCCACGTGCTGTGGGGAGCTTCTTCAGGATCTCGAACTTAAGGATTGTGGGAAAAAAGCGTGTTCAGGAAAGAGAGGCGACTGAAAGAGCTCCCCAACGTATGGAGTGAAACGTCGGACATCGTGCCGAGCTACAGGACGGTGCAAGCTAAAAACTGATCGGAGAGGAAAATGGGGTAGTTGTGTTGGCCGACGAACGGTTTTCGCATTACTTTAAGTGACTTTTTTTTAACGGAGATTTCACTGAAATCCCCTCTCGTTTCCCTAGCAGCGGCGAGCAAGCCAGCAGTTTTGATTGAGGCAGTGAAGGGGGATTTACGGATGTAAGCAGGAAGCATTTGCTCATGAGCAGCAGCTTCTGGGTCTGTGTCTAGCTTGACATGTGGCACTGAAGGCTGGCAGCGCTGGAATTCCAGAGCCAGGAAAATATGAAAAATATTTCAACCGAAAGAGAAATATTTCATCATTAGACTCGTTTTAGCTTTGCCCACAGTGTGCCGTAAATGCTATTTAAACTTTCCCAAATGGTGTTTTGTGTGTGCTGCTTGAGCAAATTATAGTTACATGAAGTAAATAAGTGGAAACATGGGATTGGTTAATCCCTCAAATAAAGTTTAATCCAGTAGCCGGTGGGACTTGGAGATTAATGACTCCAGGTATTACTCTCAAAGGAGCTTTTGTGCACAATGTGACAATGGACATTAAATAATGTTCCTGTGAGTCGGTTTGATGGCAGGTTTTTGACAGCCAGTCAATATGGTGCAAGATTGACTCATCATCATAATCAATGATCAATCATTAATTAACGTCCTCTTAAAAAATAGGGCATTCACATGAATGAGTTTAAAAGGGACATTATATTTTTTGGGGGGGGGGGTATGATTACATTTATTTTTAAACTGGTTAATCAATATTCATCCTTGACATTTTGTTTCATTCGTCTCTAGATATGACATTATATTATCGTCTCCCTTTCCAGTGCTGCTGCACATTTAATGGGCAAGAGTCCGTTTGATTTCCTATATAAATATTAACTTCAAATTCTATAAAAAACAACGAGTCCTCTGAACCAGCGTTTTGCAGTAACGTTTGTTGAAGACAAACCACTGGGACTGGCTGATTCACAATACAGTACATATATATTTTTGGTTAGGCCACGTAATAATATGACTATATCCCCCCCACCCCGCCACCAAGCACCTGACATCGGTTGTAGCTTATTTGAAATTCCTATCTTTACGGTGTGGCCTGTAAACGCGTTCTTGCTTCGTGCACATGCTTATGAACGTAAAACCAAGGGACGGGGGCAGTGCAGGTTGAGTGCTCGGTATAGAGGGCGGAAGACTGCCCTGGGCACGTGCGACGGTGGCGGTGGCCGTGGCGGGTGGCGATGGTGGCGGCGCTACCTTTTTGTGAGTGTGATGCTCCTTGGCGGAGTGCGCCTTGACGTGCTTGCGCAGGGAGCTGGGGTCCGTGTAGCGCTTGCTGCAGCCCGGGATCTGGCAGGCGTACGGTTTCTGCAGTGACAACAGAGATGTGCGCGTGAGCGCGCGAGTCACGGCCCATACTTTTGTTGCGTTGGTGTTGTCGTGAACGCACGCGTTGACAATGATCTTGGGTTGGTTCAAATACAAATGACTGCAGTCTCTATTCAGGAATCGTTTGGAATGTTTTTTTTTGAATTCGGTTTTCAAATCGCAATCGGTTCGCTCGAACGTCCACTCCTGCTGTTTCTGGTCTTGTGTGCTGTGCTTTACGCACTGTTGTTATTATAGTAGTGTCATGATTATGAATGGATTCGGATACAATTTTTGCTGGTAGATCATTTCAACTTAAAACAAATTCACTGCATCCTAAATGCATTTATTTGGCGGTTTGCAAGTCTCCTTAACTGCAACTACTGTACAAAAAACGTCTCAAATCTTTAAATTTTTACATTTCTGGGAATATATTTGTTGGTTTGACTGCGATCTAACAAAGCATTGATTTGTAGCGGAACATTTGGAAAGTGTGCCCCCTAGTGTGTAGATGAGAAAAACAATCCCTTGAAGGAATTTCAGAAGCGGTTCTTTGATATCTCCTTCAGCGGGCTATTATCTAACACAATTACGATCCCTTGCTCTGCAGGTTACAAATTGATACTTGGTATCGGTGTCTCATTAATGATGCCCCTAGCAGAATCTTACATTTTTCCACCTATAGATTGTTTTTGTCTTCCCATTGTTCCTGCCATTCAAGTTTACGCATTCCTCGCAAGCGATAACCGACAATTAACAAAACTGAGCATTGCCATCAACTAAGGGATGGAGATACAGCTCCGTGGGCTCGTTGTCTGTCCGTGTGTGTTTGTGTGATGAGACGGCGTGGGAGTGGGGCTGTTGGCCTCATTTGACCAGTCATGGTCGCCACGCGCATCTGCGAGCGGATGTTACGGCTCAACGAATGACAAATGGGTTTTTTAAAATCATTTTTTCTCTTTTCCAGCAATTGACTGCTTCGGCCCCCACTGTATTCTAACGTGAAACATCTCACATAAAAGTCAAACTTCTCTCTGCTTAAACCAGTGGTTCTTAACCTCGGGTGCATGCACCCACTGGGGGTGCCGAAATGCCCCTTCTGGGGGTGCGAGACGTGGCCAGATGTTTTTTTTGAAGGTAAATCATCGGAAACACAAATTAAGCACAGGCACGCAAGTACAATTTACGTTGTTTCATCAAACCCTATGTATGTATTAACATTTTATATATTTTTTTACGATTGAGAACCAAAGGGGTGCAAGGCTGCACTCAAGGTTAAGAGCCGCTGCCTTAAACCGAGCGATGCGGTGCGGCGTTCTTCTCCGCGGACAACGCCCAACGCACTGAGCCTCATGTCAGCCGACCACCGCTGGGATGTTGTCGGCTGACATCAGGCTCGGCGCGTCCAGCGGTGCGTTCTTTGGGCCGAGCATCTCGGCAGCACCGCGGCTGAATCGTCCAAACGTCCGTCGCTCTCCTTCACCACGGCCGACGTTCTCGCTCTGCACCCCCCCCCCCCCGCAGCTCTACCAGTCCCTGTGACACTCCGCTCATCACCCACCCCCTCTACACAAAGTGGGACTCCACGGGGTGTCCCTGCGCCGTGACCTCACGAAGGTTCCTCACCGCTCGCAGCTGTAAAAGCGGCCGTGCGGGTATGGGCGACACTTCGCAACGCGAGCTGAAAAGGGAGGTCTCCCAGGCGCCCCGAAAAAGAAAAAAAAACCCCACACATTGGAGACCCTTACACGTGCTGCGATTACTCATTCTAAATGTGAAAGAAAGGAACACGCAGAGACAGCTCGCTTGGCATTTTCAAACAAAAAAACCCTGGAGGGTTTTATGACCAAATAAAAAAAAATGCCTTTTTGCTCGGTTTGCTTTCATTGACTCTATAAAATAACAGTTCCCCTTACACCTCTTTGTGCCGTCAGCTGTTCATTTGTAAATCTTTTTGAAGCCGCGGGTTGTTTGAAATCTCGCACACACGCGCGCGCAAGCACGCACGCGCGCTTTACTTGAAATGCACTCGCACATCCCGATCGAGAGTTTATTTCGTGTTGGTGAGGAGGAGGAGGAGGTTGCGCTACGAAAGGGATGAACGAGTTAACCGAATTGGAGGCGATGAGATGGAACGGTGAAGCAAGGGCATGCGATGTTGGCGATGGGTTTCGGCTGCAAGGGGATGGGAGGCCGATGGGAATGTCCAACACAGGGGGGTCCCTAGAATCTTAGATTGCCACGAAGCAAGAGAACAACAAAAACACGTGGTTAACAAATATCAGCCTATTCTAGATTTGAAGCTTTCGTGACTGCAAGGATTGATATTCTTAGGTTTTTTCGGTAAAGTCACGTAGGTAAAACTTTTACCTATGTGACTTTACCGAAAAAACCTAAGAATATAAATATCAGCCTCCGTCGGGCTTTTAAGTGCCCTGAGCTACGCTTAAAATGGGGACATATTCAGTTGGTGATCCCATTGCATTGGGAAATGAGGGTTGGTGGACCACGCCAGTCTGACATGCAGATCCGCAACAGGAGCTGGGAGTGAGAGGAGAGCAGGGGCAGTCCGACCGCAGGGAGCCAAGGAGGGACCCTCCTGTGGTGGGTCCCTGACAGCACCTCGCCCCTCCTGCGTCCACCGTGGGGCTTTTTAATTGCAAAGCCGTGAGCCGTGGTGCGAGTGGATCGGCGGCGGTGCAACGTGGCAGGTGTGAAAAGAGCCCCCCCTCCCCTCCCACCGGACCGATATCGAAACGTCAAAACGAAAAGTCAAAAAATTAGCTTGAGTTTGTAAAATGGGCTGGGGGTGGTGGATGGATGCCGGGGAGTTGTGTGTGGCGATGCAGCTGTTGGTGGTGGTGGAATAGCGGCGAAGGGAATCCGAGAGATTTTTGAAGGAAAAGGAAGGACAGTACCTGAGTTCGAGAGAAGGGCACTTTGCTGTGCACAAGTAGCAAAGAGAAATATAGAGTTAAGACAGAGTCAGCAGAGACTGGTAAGGCACAGCAAGGGGCAATCCACTGCTGGTCGATGCCCTCCTCACAATAAGTCAGTCATAGCGGGTTGTTTGACCACACTTCACGCTGGTTGGGGCAGGTTGGTGAGTGAGCTGGGATGCGACAGGGGAGGTTCGGATATCATTCATTCCTATTAGCTTTGGCCGTGATCGAACCTTCGTGAACTGTACACTGGCTGCCAGTCAGTCATAGAATTAATTTGAAAGTTATTTCATTGGTTTTTAAACCGTTGAATGGTTTGGCACCAGCATACACGTCTTCTATGCTTTTAATATATGAACCAACAAGATCCCTAAGAACCTCTGGTTCTGGTCTTTTAGTCGTCACAAGGGAGACGGCGCCTTGAGTGTGGACACTCCGCGCCTGTGGAGCAGCCTGCCAGGGGATCTCTGACAACTTCGCAATCATCAAGCAATTTCAAGTTCAATCTTAAAAAACTTACATTTTAAAGTTGCCTTTACTTAAATTCTTCATAGTGTCATTTTTTTAATATGCCTTCGATAGCAATTCATTATAATGCAATTTTGTTCTGTATGGAAATTGCTTTTATTAGTCTTGCGCTTTCGTCATTTAACAATGTTTCCTTTTATTTGTACAGCACTTTGAATTGCATCTTTTGCACGAAGTAGTGCTGTAGAAATAAAGGCTTGATTGATTGATAGCACAGTAGTGCGCTAACCATTCTGCCATCTCCTCCACCCCCTGACATGCACCGCAGCAAACAAATATCCATCTGTGAAAATGCTGTTCGAAAAGCAACCTGGCAGTTACTGAGTTAGTGAGTCACGGTCTTTGCCCCTGTGAATTGTCGATCCGTGCGGACCACCGCACCCCTCTCCTCGGTTTGAGAGACGTCTCACTTCGTGTGCACTGTTTTCATTAGCGTCGTGTTTTATCAGCTGTTCGACTCGTTTATTCTTCAGCCACGCCGGCTGACGGCGAGGACACGCCCGTCGCACGGTAGCCAAACGCAGAGGGGAGAGAGAGAGACATCGTAATGCTCGGTTGCTGTAAAGATGAATTCGAAACGAGCGTTCGAGAAGAGCTGTGCACACGGTTTCGATTACGGGTGGCGATGGCAAATCGTAACAAAAATATTTTGCCGTCAATATTTTTAAAATCTCCGAAACCCTGGCAGCTCTATGCGACCGGGTTACGCTTTTATTTTTGCTACTCGGTTAAACGGCGGTAGGGATTTCACGAAGGCCAGCGGGTTTTTCTTCGCCTCCCCACCAATGTTGTTAGACGACGGCTTGCTCTCGTTTCAGAGTCATAGGCGAAGTTAACATTCTACGTTGTACTTTGCCGCATTTTGACGCAACGTGTGAGTAATGCACTCCAACGTACGTAAGTAATGATCTAGTTAAGCGATTATATTTTTTCTTAAGTTCCTGAAATTAAAACGCTCGTGCCTGCTTGACCCCGGTTTTTTTTATTATTAAAACCAACTGGTCCGTGATTGATTGGAACAAATGGATTGGAAAAATGAGCCCGTAGCATGAATTAGTCAGGCGAGTGCCTAAGATATTTGTTTTAGATTATGGCCCTTGACAAGTTTCGAGTCTCTTTTTTTTCTGACAAGTCGGGGGTGGGGGGAGGGGTGTCGTTGTTGTTACGTTGTTATTAAAAGGTTCATTTTTTGAGAGCCCGTAACTGAAATTAGGCAAACCTTAACTCGGGCTATTGTGTTTGTGTATTTAAAGTGAAACGGAGAACTTATTACGACGGTACGATCGCGTAAATGATAATCGCCGACGCGAATGTCTAAAACAATAATTAACGACTATTAGAAATCGTTAAAACAACACCACCCTTCTGATGTATTAACAACTCTCTTCATTCCACAATCTTCTTTTACAGGAGAGAAGCGATCGCAGGCTTTGTCGTGAGTGTGGATTTGCAGAACGACCTTGAGGTCGAATGCCTTGCGTAATCTTCCATCTTAATCACGGTTCGATGCTGAGCTGTCGATTATTTAGTATCACTTCGCTCGCACTTGCATTTGACATTCACCCTTACTGTTTACATTGTTGTACTATGTTCACCGTCTGTTTTATTTCTCCGTAACCTAATTTGTCATCGTACTATAATCAGCCAAGGGAAAATCTGCCCGAGCCAACTTACACTTTACGAAATATTTTTGTATATTGTGCGTGATAAAAACAACTTAACATTATAGACACAAATGTGGTGCAGTGGTGGTGGTGGAATTCACACACTGCACGATGAACCCTGTGACCTTAGATGGCCAAATCGACCTGAGTCTCAATATCTGAACTGATCCCGTGCCCTTCCTTTACTCACCCGCAATGACCAGTGTGGTGAAGTATGGTCAAACAAACTCCCCAATTGTCATCCTGGCATGGGGAGAACCGTCGTCTAGCAGTGGATTGACAAAGGGGCTGTAATTGTGTTGTTTGGACACGCACTGCATCGACTCAAAACACAAGATAAACGTACAATGGGCAGAAGAAGTGAGCACGATAATTGGGGTTGCTTCTTCTCTACTGCCTGGCATTCCCTTCCTCCCTCTGGCTTTCTGCACCCGTGGCTCCATCCCTCTTTTCACGTCTCGACTTGAGATCTTCCTCTTCTGCTTCGCCTGTGTCCATCTCCGCCAAGGAAATGGGTCACTATTGAAGTCATATCTCACAGCTCCCTGCTCTCTCTAACTTCCCCGTTTCACCATAAATCATAATTATAATTCCCCTCGTCCTTCGCCCACCATCTTTCACACGCACATCTAATTTGTTCTTACATCCCGTCGCTTCTGTCTACCCAGCGATTTAAACGGGCACGCGACAATTAGTCCGCTAGCAGTGACCTCAAAAATATATTTTAGGGCAGCGCCTTTACCCATTTCTAGTAAAGGGTACAAACATGAACGTGGGTGGACAGGCGGAGAGACGGGTTGGCAGATATGGAACCGTATCCATCACAGACACAGAACTTCCAGGTTAAAAGGAGCCACATTCCAAGAATCAACGGCCAGGTCATCCAGGTGGTCTCTATAAGCCTGCAACTCAATACAGGCCCTCGCTGTGGGAAACGTAACGTAAGAATGCGTTGCGCGCGTGCGATGCATTAAAGGTCTGGTTTATTTTTCCTTCACGTGTAGTAATATTACTCATACATGTCCAATAAAAAGTAAAGCGGTGGGGGGAGAGGGAGGGCCTGGTTGGAGGAGATGGTGGTGGTGGCGTTAATCGAAACTTTGGACGCCTGCACGCACACGGCGCGTGCGTGCGGGGGGTGGTTGCGCTGTAGAAGGTGATAGCGAGGGCAACCCTCATGCACCGCCAGCCACCTGTCGCACCTGCGGCCCCACCGCAGAGGCTGGCGGCAGCGGCGGCGGTGACGCGAAAACTCAACTCGTCTTTTTTGGGAGGCTCAACCGGAGACGCGTGGTGAGCTCGCAGGCCCCTCCCTCTACCAAACAGCCCCGCCCACTTTCGCATAGACACGCCCACTGAACTCACTAGCACGCCCTTCTACCCGGCGAGTGCGTTCGCTCTCCCTGGTGTCAACTTGCTCATCAGGCTCGGCCTGCTCCCCTGGCAACCACGACTCGGGTAGCCCGCTCACCCCTTGCGCCCCTGCGCGTGTTTCGCTAGCCGAGCACGAGGTCACAGACGACTTTTAAACCGTGACGAGCATCTCGGGGGCCCAGCCTCGCCGGGGGCCCGCCGGCAGGAACGTCGCGGCTAAACGGCCTCACCGTGTCGAAGTGCGTGCGCTGGTGCTTGGCGCGATCGCTGGAGTTGCTGAAGGCCTTGTGGCAGCCGTGCTGCTGGCACAGGTAGGGCCGCTCGCCCGTGTGGCTCCGCAGGTGGATTTTGAGGTTCTCCAGCCGGGAGAACGCTTTGCTGCAGCCCTCGAACTGACAAAGGCACAGACCACACCACCCGCATGTAAAGCCTTTAACAAGCTGTTGGAGCAAAGTGCTGTTCGCGAACATCGAGATGGAGGATGACACGGCAGGCGAGTGCGTTGAGTGACCAGCACAATTCCAGGCTGCTTTTGGCTCCCCGTGGTTGATGTTTATACATCGTGCCAGGTACGCTTTTTCAGATCACCGATATTAACCGTGAGCAGGAATCATGTTTTTTTAGGGGCCTGGGAAAAAAAGAGTGCAGTGGGCTAATCACTACACGACCGCTCCCTTGAAGTGAGATCCATACGGGCACCCAGGAATGAATATCAACATGAGTTGATGACCCAGAAAAACCTCCAGCAGGCCCATCACATCCAGTAGCCAATTCGCTTGGTCGTGACTACCAGTCACCCATAATAATAATATTCTAATAAGGGGCCGTCCATAAATGACGTCACGCGATTTTGGACGATTTTTTACCCCCCCTCCCCTTCGTCACGGCGTCACAAAAAGTCAGCCCCCCCCCCCCCCCCCCAAATAAAACATGCTTCAAATCGCTTTAAACTATTGTCATTGTAGTGCGTATTTAATGTGGCGCTGCACTCTGATGTTGTTAAACGTGTTGTCTATATTTATTTAAAGTTGCGCATTTTGATGTGACGTCACACATCGTCACAAATGTCTGACCCCCCCCCCTAGGTGCGTGACGTCATTTACGAACGGCCCCTAATACATCCTGTAATAAAAACCAGCTGATCAGCCCACTTTTTCAAGTGATGCCAAGGTTAAAACAAGCTTACAAAGATTCGCGTTAAATCACGGCAAATATTTGGAAGTGCGGTCTGACAAGACAAAAATAAGTAACAAAAAAAAAACCATACACATCAGAGGAATAGAAGCAAGACAACATGATTCGACATGTGCACACAAATGTTTTTTGTGAACGAGCCTATGGCTTAAATGCAAATCCTATCGTGTACTTGGAAATGAGAAGGGGAGCCATTGCTGTGTTTGAAAGATGAAATCCCGGGCATAAACATTGCCTTCAGAGACCAGAACCCGCACGGCACCATTCTTTGTCCACCCCCCTCACCCCCTTCGTTCCGTGCCTCTCACACAACCAACCCCGCTTGCATCGTCTATCTGTGAAGTCACGGAGAGCCTTTGCTTTCTCAAAGAGGCAAACCTCGCCCTTGCTGAGTTTCACCTGTCCTCTCCTTAAACCCCTTTCACGTGCACGACTCCCCGCGGCGCAGTATCTTGAGACAATGGTTGCATTAAAGACGCTTTACTCAGCCAAATAAATACACGCTGCCAAGCTCAGCAGGGTTAATTACGACGCTGTTTTGTCAGACAGCTCTGTTTTTCACCTGAGGACGGCTGCTTGCGTTATGCCCGAAACGTCGTGAGAATTTTATAATGTTAAATGTTTTATTATTTTATTATTTCCCTTCTACGTGACTTTACCGAAATAACCAAGAAGATGAATCCCTGCAGCCACGAAAGCTTTAAATCGAAATTTACCGAAAGAACCAAGAAGATGAATCCCTGCAGTCACGAAAGCTTGAAATCGAAATTCAACCGCCTCTATGGGGAGGGATTCCACACAACTTTGAGATCCTTCAACAAACTCCGGGATAAGAAGGCTCAGCTAGTCGAGTCTCTCACCTTTCTGAAGAGATGTAATACCAATCGCATTTACACTAACCTCTGTTGCTGTAACTTCCTCTATTGATATGTAAACTCCTTTGTCAAAGCACTTTGCTCCTTCCACCCAGCTTAAATACACGCTGCCAAGCTCAGCAGTGTTCATTACGACGCTGTTTTTCAGACAGCTCTGTTCTTCACCTGAGGACGGCTGCTTGTGTTGTGGCCGAAACGTCGTGAGAATTTAATTTGATTGTTTTATTTTTATTATTTTATTATTTCCCTTCTACGTGACTTTGCCGAAAGAACCAAGAAGATGAACTCCTGCATAGCAGGTGAGATAGTTAACATCTCGCCACCGCGGTATTCTCTCCACGCTGCGCCATTGATTCACCATACTTCGCTGCCGCTGCTCAGTGAGGATTTGTGAACAGGGGAGGCCCAGGACCGTTTTCGATATCACTCGCCACTGATGTCAGTGGCATTAGTGTCAATTTTGTAATAACACATATATATACAAACACCCAGCTCTGTCATTCTGTGACTGTGATTAACGCGGCACGGATTGGTTGAAGTGTGTCACGTGACCGCGAGCAAGCAGCCAACCAGAGGTACGCCCCTCCCAAACATGTGCGCCCCCGGATTGGTTGAAGTGCGTCACGTGACCGCGAGCAAGAGACGGGTGAGTGAGAGTGAGGAGACGGCTGAGTGAGAGTGAGGCAGAGCCGTGCTCTGTCCACTGCTGCCCTGAGAGAGAGCCGTGCTCGGTCCGCTGCTGCCCTGAGAGAGAGCCGTGCTCGGTCCGCTGCTGCCCTGAGGGAGACGGGTGAGTAACAGTGAGGCAGAGCCGTGCTCCGTCCACTGCTGCCCTGAGGGACCCCCGTGCTGTCCACTGCTGGCTTGAGGGAGAGCCGCGCTGTCTCCACTGCTGCCCTGAGGGAGAGCCATGCTCTGTCCACTGCTGCCCTGAGGCAGAGCCGTGCTCTGTCCACTGCTGCCCTGAGGCAGAGCCGTGCTCTGTCCATTACATTAGTACCGGAGTTTTTTGTGTGCTTAAATCCACTGCTGGATGAAGGCCCACCGCACGTTGTGCGAGTGGATCGTAAGGATTTACTTGACCAGTCTGTTGGGGTCCGCCACAGGCTGTGGTTGTGTTATATTGTAGATACGAGATACTCTGCCTGTGCTTGCTGAAGTCTTGCAAATTGTCTTGCTTTTGTGAATGCACACTCATGATGTGGCATGGGTGCACAAGGCATGGTTCCAATGCAGGATGAATGTATGTATGTCGAATTTCTTTCGCACCGTACGTAGCCAACTGTGTTAATCGGAGGTGCGAGGGAAGGACAACAAACTAAACACACAGAGCAGTTCTAAAGAAATTAGTTTTCAATCGAGATTGAAAAGTCCATGGCTCCAGTGGCTTCTTAATATCACAAGGAAATGAGGGAAGCCTTCAAATGTCGACCCCAACCCACACCCCACGTCCACCCCAACCCACACCCCACTACCACTCCACCCACACCCCACGTCCACCCCAACCCACACCCCGCGTCCACCCCAACCCACACACCACGTCCACTCCACCCACACCCCACGTCCACCCCAACCCACACCCCACTACCCCCCCACCCACACCCCACGTCCACCCCAACCCACACCCCACTACCACCCCACCCACACCCCACGTCCACCCCAACCCACACCCCACGTCCACCCCAAACCACACCCACATCCACCCCAACCCACACCCCACGTCCACCCCAACCCACATCCACCCCAACCCACACTTCTCTACCACCCCACCCCACACCCCACTACCACCCCAACCCACACCCCAAATCACGAGACGCGTACACTGTCACGCTCTGGATTTACAATCACGCGAAGCAGTGCGGATCTTTTGTGCGAGCGGTGCAAAGTTTTTGACCGAGATCGGTCCTGAAACAAAACATTTATTTTTAAATTACAAGTGGCTGTTATGAAGTGTGTAAGAAAGGAAAAGAAAATATTTGCCACATGTGAGAGGGCGTTCGAGCGCTTTAAATGAACAAAGCGTCCAAAAGCACGTGTACGGCAGGGTGCGAGGAGCCAAAAATACCAAATATTAATGACCCACTATATTCTCACGCTCTTTGAAATAGAGATGTTTATGACCATTGCGCAACTTAAGCTCAAAGTTATTTTAAAGCCACTCGATAAGTTAATTTATTTTAAAAAAGCATATATATAATATACCACGCAGCCATGAAAAAAAATCTTTCCAACGCAATCCTCCAGTGCATCGTTCTGGAAGAAAATCTCTTTAACAAATTGCTCGCAATATGAGAAGAGAGTTTAAGATCATAACACGGCGAGCTTGGAGTTTTATTTTACAAAAATAATATACGTCGGAGTGTAATTCTTTTTTTTTCATGCACACAGCCATTTGCCCAGGGGGTTGGTTTTGGTTGGAGATTCATTCCAACTGATTTTAGTCGAATAACCACACAACCAGCAAATGGGGGGGGGGGCTTTAATTCAGTATTGGGTTGACAAATTGGCTGCTTTTTCTTTAATTCTGATAGAGTATACAGAAACAAAAATCTATGTTCGGCCAGACTTTAACGGCGCAAGCCACAAAATTGCATGGGTCTCGGCTGAATGTGTCCTGTCACATTTTTGTGCGGAGGGGGGCGAGGGAGGGGGGCAGTGGGGGATTCGGTGGGGGGCACAGAGTCGCTCACTGATGGCCAAGACTAGAATCCTGCGGGTCCACTCTCTCTCGAGAGATTTAACACAGAGGGCCCCAAGGACAGACGCTTGACAGACAATTAATTTAACTTAAAAATAAAAATTATTTAAAAAAAAGTACCACATTGAGCGATTCAACAATCCCCTCTTTCGGCGCTCCCCCCCCCCGCGTGTGAAAACGTGGAGATTGGCAAGCATCATATTTGGATATGTACGGAGCATTTAAAAGCTCTGCGAGGTCATAGCTCCAACTTGTTATTCTCGTTTGTCAGCTGGTAGAACGGTCTGCGCTGCACAATAGCACATTCATGGCTCCATATTTTTTTATAATCGCACGGCTGCATTGCCACGTTTGATTATTTTTCGTATCAAGAACAATAACTATGGGCTTAGATTGAACAATAAAAAAACACACGCAAGTGAGATTAAATAAAAGCTAACCAATAAAACACATTTTCATGGTTGTGATGAACCAATCATCCCTTTGGCGTTTGTGAAATGAGTACTGCTTTGTGCAAAGTCAACTCAGTTGGTGGGATTTGAGGACTTAATAGAATGATATTTCACACAAGTGTTCCAGTGAGATTTGGGACTGTAATGGAGGCAAGCAGGCTGACCTACGCGAGCCCAGATGCTCCTCACAGGGCAATGGATTTAAACAATGAATCTTCCTCTCCGTCCCATCACATGAAATGCGAGCTTTCAGACTAATCTTAATCAAGAGAATTATTATCAAACGTGAAAACTCCGGAGCAACTTGACAAAGGGCGAAGAGTCCTCCCTGCCCTTGGCTCCAGAACGACCACAGAGCAGCTAACGCCGGTCAGAAATCAACTCGCACAGCGAGGCACATCGCCTGCCACGTGGGTGGGCAGTTTTTCAGGTTTGCCATCAAAGAGTGGGCTCCATTCTCCCTCCCCCCTCCGCCAAAGGTGATGAGACGTGAACGCCCTCACCTGGTAGCCATAGGTTCGACCCCGACCCCGACGATGCATTATATTTTTTATTAAATCCTTTATATTAAGTTCGCTTGCTTGCTTGCGTGCTTGCGTGCTTGCTTGCTTGCTTAGGACCGTGCAAATCTTTCGGTCGTTTTTTAACCCACTTCCCGTGATCCAATCGAGCTGACATTTTGCACACAGACTCGTTGTGCGTGACAATTTATTTTCGTGAAATTTTTTTTCCAAAATTTTCAACATTTTAGGGAAAAAAATATTTTTAATTACCAATTGCTTAATGGTGGCAGGCATTCATCTGACCCATAGGTGGCAGCCATCTCAAGCCAGAGGACGAGAGGACTCTAGCCGCCACGCATATAAAGGATTTATAGTGAAAAACTTTGTTTTTACGGGTTAATTTTTAAATCCTTTATATTAAGTTCGCTTGCTTGCGTGCTTGCGTGCGTGCTTGCTTGCTTACGACCGTGTAAATCTTTCGGTCGTTTTTTAAGACACTTCCCGTGATCTAATCGAGCTGACATTTTCCACACAGACTCGTTGTGCGTGACAATTAATTTTCGTGAAAATTTTTTTCCAAAATTTTACTACTGTTTAGGGAATTTTTTTTTTTAATATTTGATTACCAATTGCTTAATGCTGGCAGACAATCATCTGACCCATAGGTGGCAGCCATCTCAAGGCAGAGGACGAGAGGACTCTAGCCGCCACGCATATAAAGGATTTATAGTGAAAAACTTTGTTTTTACGGGTTACGTTTTTGGAGTTTGCATGCCTCTCTCCCCGTGATAGTTGTGTGGATTTTTCTCCGGGTCTTCCATATTTAGAATCACCGTGCGTTCAGAGTATTTGGCTGATATACATTTCCACGTGATAAGCCACCGAGTTGAGCTATTATTTGTGGCCAGGCGGTTTCTGAAAAAATAGCTATATAGCTCAGTGGGCCTTACCTGGTAAAATAAAAAAAAACGAATAGTTTAGTTTCCCACGCCGTTCAACAAATCCCCTGGCTCAGGCGTGAGTGGTTTAAGTGAGAGGGACACCCGGCCAAGTTTTGAGTTTCCTTTGTATTTCTCGGTTTTTTTGTTATCATCATCATCACCCCACACCCATTGGCTAATCTAGCACGCACTACGTGGGTTTGCAGTAAATTGTAGATCAAGAACGACCGCCCTGTTGCCTCGATGCAAATGAACGCTAAGCCGTTAACAACTCGCCAACTTCACGAGTTGATGAATTGTCGCGCAGCAATTATGGAATCGCTTGTGATGTTTACCATCGCGGTGCGCCGAAGTGACTCTTGCGGCTGCAGAGGCAACGTGACCCGATTGGACTCAACATTCATGTAAATTAAATGGTATGCAAAAGCCCTCTGAGATGACTTTACTCATGTGAAGTGCGCGATTTAAATATAGATTTCTTGGTTGAACATGTATATGCATCTAAAGCAATTTATTCTCACACGGACAATTCGGTGCACGCATCACGAGCGTAACTGATCGATTTGAATTTGACGGCCCGACGTTCCGCCGCTACACCTCCACCCACCGTGCACTTGTTGGGCTTCTCCCCCGAGTGGACGCGCATGTGTATGAGCAGCTTGTAGCGCGCGTTGAAGGGCCGGTAGCGCCTGGGGCAGCCGGTCCAGAAGCAGGTGAAGTCGTCGCTGCCCTTGCGCTGGTCCACGTGGGCCCTCTCGATGTGCCGCACCAGCTCTTCGCGCCTCTCGTGCTGCGACGCGGCGCAGTCCATCCACCGGCAGCGGAACTCCACCTCGTCCGGCTCCAGCGGCGCCGCCGCCTCGGCCCCGGGGGCGCCGGCCTCCGGGTCCCCTCCGCCGGCGCGAGCGCAAGCGCCGGCGGGACCGCGGTGAGCGCCGTACGGCGGCGGCGGCGTGAGCGGGCAGGCGTCCGGGTAGCCGTTGCTCAGCGGCTCCTGCTTGAAGGCGGCGCAGCGCCCTCGCCGCGCCGCCGCGCCGACCGCAGCCTCCCACGAGTAGTGGCGCTCGTCGTCGAGCGACGAGCGATCGGCGGCGCGGCCGGCCAGCTCCGCGTGGCACTGGCCGCCGGGGGGCGAGGGGCCCCCCGCCCTGGCGCGCAGGTGCTGCCCGTAGACGCCGGCCTGGAGCGAGACGCACGAGGGGGCGGTCCCGGGCGCCGGCGCCGATGTACGCCGCGAGAGACGTGGGCGAGGTGCGGGCGACGGCGTCGATGTCCATGTCGACGGGGAACGCTTGCGGCGCGGAGTGCGGCGCGGAGTGCGGCGCGCGCTTGCGGTGCCGGTCGAGGCGCCCGGCCCGCGCCGTCGCCGGGTCGCCGAACGGGTAGCGGCAGGCGCCAGGGGCGGGCGCCGGCTCGCTGCCGCGGCCGTGCATCTGGTCGCCGTCGCAGGCGCCGGCGGGCGACGGGGAGATGGTGCCGTAGCCGCCGGGCAGTGGCCACTCCTGCTTCAGAGCGGCGGTTTGGCTGTCGGCCAGGCCGGGGCCGATGGACGCGGTGGACTCGTGGGAAATAAGCGATCTGCTAGGAAGAGGAGTTGATAAAAACACAATGCCGATTTGAGCGCCGCGAGTTGCACGAAGGGAAAGAATTCAGTTTAGTGCGATTTAAATCAACCGTTCGTGTAAGGCCAGGTTAATTAGATTTTTTCTATAAATGTAATTATTTTTTTAAGATCATGAAACTAAGCTGGTTTATTTTGAATGTCATGTAAAAAATCATTTACAGTAATTTATCAATCCACTGCTGAATGAAGGCTTCCCTATCCAATCAGTCATGGAGGCTCGTTCACCATACTTCACCACGCTAGCCACTGCAGTATGGTAAAGGGGGTGTGGGTAGCTGTGGCTAAACGTGGCTACCGAGTCCATCGTGCAGCGCGGTAAAGACTGCCCCACCGCTCCCTCACAGGCCACGTTGGCATCTCGCACTCCCACAGGCCCCACACGTTGACAGCGACACACAATTCCGCACGAGCCCTGAATGCGGTGGTGGCCAGTTGCCTCACCTGGCGTCGGGATGAACCGCCGAGGGGGGCCCCTGGTGCATTCCGAGGAAGTGGGGGCGGCAGCCGGCGTCTGTGGCTGGGTACCCCCCCGGTGCGGCGTGCACGGTCGGTTCGAGCCGGCGAGGGGCCGGGGGTCCCTGTGCCGCCACCGCCGCCGCTGCCGCCGCCGCGCGGTGCCGTGCAATCGCGACGCACTGCAGCGCGTAGCCGTTGCTTCCTGCGAAGGCGCGGGCGCGGTGATGGTGGGAGGTGGTGACGGTGGGATGGTGGTGGTGGTGGTAACGGTGAAAGGTGGTGGTGGGAGGTGGTGACGGTGGGATGGTGGGATGGTGGTGGTGGTGGTGGTAACGGTGAAAGGTGATGGTGGGAGGTGGTGACGGTGGGATGGTGGGGTGGTGGTGGTAACGGTGAAAGGTGGTGGTGGGAGGTGGTGACGGTGGGATGGTGGGATGGTGGTGGTGGTGGTGGTAACGGTGAAAGGTGATGGTGGGAGGTGGTGACGGTGGGATGGTGGGATGGTGGTGGTGGTGGTAACAGTGAAAGGTGATGGTGGTGGTGGTGACGTTGGAAGGTGGTGGTGGTGATATTGCGAGTTCGGTGGTGGTGATGGTGGAAAGAGGAGGTGGTGGCGATGGTGGTGATGGCAGCAAGGATGAGGTGCGGTGGTTAAGGTGGGGTAGCAGGAGAAAACAACAGGGATGAGAAGAAAGTTATTCCAACAATGGTTCGTAACGTGACCAACACACCCTTTGTGCCATTTTCGAGAAAATTAATCCAAAGTGCAGATTTTCTTTTTTATTAAACGTGCCGTTGGCACAATTTGCCAACAATTGCTGCACTCTACTTGAGTCGAGTCGGTGTTTACTCTGCAGAGAGGGAGAAGTGACTCCGATCGGGATTTTTTGCATGCAAAGAAGTTTGCACTAAAATAGGTCGCAGAGGAAGGGTGGTTCGTCGGACTCGCGATGGCCACGTTCGAGCGCTGAGTCAGCGCCGCTGTGATCCTACGCTCAACCCTAGATGACCATCTGCGATAAAACTGGGCTCGTGTGTGTGTGTGCAGTGAGTTTCGCGGTCTCGTTCTGTTTGCCGGTGACTTTGGGGGAAAAGACAAAAAGACCCCACCCATAATGTGACATTTGCATGTTCTGCCAATTCATTTGACCCCGGCTCAAATGGAGAAAAGTATAAAAACGAAAATGGACACACAGCAAACAGCTCTTTATATTCTTTGGTTGAGGCGGTGTCACCGAGTGATGGGCGAGGGAGGCATAGCAGAGATACAGTGGCGTGAGCTGTAGTTGCATTTAAACGTGTTTTAAATCCACATTGAGTCATTTTGTGAATTGTTGTTTCATTGAAGTTGGTTAAGTGGTGTCATCTTGCAGGGGATTTTCATGGCATAACCTGTGACTCCTGACTTGGAAGACCTGGAAGGGCCGGTCTGGGTCTCATGATAATACGACTCCGATCGGCACACAAATGGGATTCGGATGCCAAAAAAAAATGCAGTACAACAAAATAAAAACAAATGCCCGTCAGAAATATTCATCAACTATGGTCAAGACATCGCTGGATGAAGAGCACCACCACCTCTTATGTAATATCCCATACATAGCCTGCACGTGGAACTAATTTAATCGCTCTATCTCCTCTGTGTGCAGCCTCTCGGCCACGATCCATTCCCTCGCAGCCTCATCCGCAATCCGCGCCGTGTCTTCGGAGCGGCTCCGTTCGTCGTCGCCTGCGCCTCGTCACTAACCGCCGGCTCCATGGTGGCACCGCACTGACACCGTGCCCTCGGGGCCCCCCATCTCGACAGAGGCCCCCCACCCCCCCCCAGGGGAGGCGAGGCGTGACGCTCTGTGCCCCCTGCGACGCGCTCTGCCCTAATGCTGCCCCCACTCCCCTCCCCACGACAACACCGTGCTGCTAACGAACGCTGGGGTCTACCGAACGCTCCGGTCTTTGTGTTGTTGGTGTTGTTGTTCTTGTTGTTGCCACCACATTTTTCTTCACGCTGTTTTTTGCGAAAGTGCTTACTGCAGGCGGAATGAGCGGCCACCCTCGCGCGCTTACGGGTTCAAGTTCGCTATAAGTGTGACATTAATGATGTGTCGCACGAGACAAATGACACATCTCGATTTAAAGCTTTCGTGACTGCAAGGATTCATCTTCTTGATTCTTTCGGTAAAGTCACGTAGAAGGGAAGTAATAAAATAATAAAAATATAAATATTCTATTATTATATTATTTTATTATGTTTTATTTTTATTATTTTATTACTTCCCTTCTACGTGACTTTACCGAAAGAACCAAGAAGAAAAATGACACATCTTTAATGATTTCCCACACTTCTGATTAGCACGGTGGGCTATGCACGGTACGATACAAGTTCGCCATACATACACATGTAAGCTTAATACGTAAAAAATGCACTGAATAGTGTTTTTTATTGCATTAATGTTTACTCGCGTTTTCAATGAACTCATTTTCCGCCTGATTTTCCACTCGGCGATCAATGCAAATGCAGCCGTCGCCTCTTCCTACATCATCATCGTCATCGTTGACAGGAGCCAGAGGTGACTGAACTCCTCAACACTGTCGGTTCGACAGATGCACCCATGGCAAGGCACGCAATGATGCTCTCGCTAAATAAAGACAATTTAACGTTGCGATGTGTTGTTGTTGTTGTAAGAAATAATTATTATTCGACCGTTGCCATGCCGGCTCTGACCGATCCACAAAAGCCAAACGACTTGTGGATAGCAACATGATGTCTTAATACAAGTGGGGGGGGGGGGGGGGGTTACCTTGGCCGCAGAGAATGAAACAGGGCAGGGCCGATTCCGAGCACACCAAAAAGAAAGCACTGGGCGATTGAGAAACTCCCCACCCCGTCTTTTACAATGCGCTTTACGATGTTACGCGGACGCCGGATGCTCAAAAGGAACGCTCATTAAGTGTCGCGATCATTCACGGTGGGGGTGGGGGGGGTTTATAAAGGAGGGCGCAAGCCCGCACACGAGGCAGGCAGCGATGCTCAACTAAACCTCGCGTAAAAACAAAAAAACAGTCTTTGCGCAAGCTCGTCGCCTCGCAAGTCCGCGTACGCTGACATACTGCGCTGCAAGAGACGGCGCAGATGTAGAAGGTTAGCGCTGTAACGGAGCGTTGATTAATAATAATTCGTTTATTTTCAAAATGGTACCGTTCGTTAAGAGCTCACAAAGGCCCGTACATGCAAAAATGTATTTGGTGGGGGGGGGGGGGGGGTTCATATTCTCGCATTGCAGATGCTGGAAAAGGTTGAACTTGAACTGAACCTGAACTCCTTTTTGCACCGTACGAAGCTTTCGTGACTGCAAGGATTCATACTCTTAGTTCTTTCGGTAAAGTCACGTAGGTAAAAAATGAAATTAAAATTAATTGATGCAGAAAATCTGGCTGTGACGGTCCCACCTGATGACGGAGACTTGTGTTGCCTCCGAAACGTCGTGATTTTATTGATTTATTTTATTAAATTAAATTTAATTTTTTACCTACGTGACTTCACCGAAAGAACTAAGAGTATGTAGCCAACCGTGTTCATCGGAGTGTGCGAGATGATCGCCACGACAGTTGCTCATTGTCAGCGGAGTGCACTGGGCACTGCTCTCATTCCCATTCCTCGTCGCCAGCAGCACCCACACCAGCAGCACCCACACCAGCTGCACTCACACCAGCTGCACTCACACCAGCGGCACCCACACCAGTTGCAGCCACACCAGCAGCACCTACACCAGCAGCACCCACACCAGCAGCACCCACACCAGCAGCACCCACACCAACAGCACCCACACCAGCGGCACCCAGACCAGCAGCACCCACACCAGCGGCACCCAGACCAGCAGCACCCACACCAGCAGCACCCAGACCAGCTGCACTCACACCAGCTGCAGCTACCCCAGCAGCACCCACACCAGCAGCACCCACATCAGCAGCACCCACACCAGCAGCACCCACACCAGCAGCACCCAGACCAGCTGCACTCACACCAGCAGCACCCACATCAGCAGCACCCACACCAGCAGCACCCACACCAGCAGCACCCAGACCAGCTGCAGCCACCCCAGCAGCACCCACACCAGCAGCACCCACACCAGCTGCACCCACACCAGCAGCACCCACACCAGCAGCACCCACACCAGCAGCACCCACACCAGCTGCACCCACACCAGCAGCACCCACACCAGCTGCAGCCACACCAGCTGCAGCCACACCAGCAGCACCCACACCAGCAGCACCCACACCAGCAGCACCCACACCAGCTGCAGCCACACCAGCTGCACTCACACCAGCAGCACCCAGACCAGCAGCACCCACACCAGCTGCAGCCACAGGAGCAGCACCCACACCAGCAGCACCCAGACCAGCTGCACTCACACCAGCTGCAGGCACACCAGCAGCACCCACACCAGCAGCACCCACACCAGCTGCACCCACACCAGCTACAGCCACACGAGCAGTACCCACACCAGCTGCACTCACACCAGCTGCAGCCATACGAGCAGCACCCACACCAGCTGCACCCACACCAGCTGCACCCACACCAACTACAGCCATACGAGCAGCACCCACGCCAGCTGCACTCACACCAGCTACAGCCATACGAGCAGCACCCACACCAGCTGCACTCACACCAGCTGCAGCCACACCAGCTACAGCCACACGAGCAGTACCCACACCAGCTGCACTCACACCAGCTGCACTCACACCAGCAGCACCCACACCAGCAGCACCCACACCAGCTGCACCCACACCAGCTGCAGCCACACCAGCAGCAGCAACACCAGCTGCACCCACACCAGCTGCACCCACACCAGCTGCAGCCACACTAGCAGCACCCACACCAGCTGCAGCCACACCAGCTGCACTCACACCAGCAGCACCCAGACCAGCAGCACCCACACCAGCTGCAGCCACAGGAGCAGCACCCACACCAGCTGCACCCACACCAGCTACAGCCACACGAGCAGTACCCACACCAGCTGCACTCACACCAGCTGCAGCCATACGAGCAGCACCCACACCAGCTGGACCCACACCAGCTGCACCCACACCAGCTACAGCCATACGAGCAGCACCCACGCCAGCTGCACTCACACCAGCTACAGCCATACGAGCAGCACCCACACCAGCTGCACTCACACCAGCTGCAGCCACACCAGCTACAGC